CCTGACAGAATGAAACAAGTCTTGAGTTAATGCACATATAATCCTGATAGAAGCTGTGTAAAGTGATGTTTACCGTATCTCCAATTATGTTTGGATGTAACAACAACCAATACGTTCAGTTTGTAAACTGTTTGCAACATCATTGGTGAGAACTGGTCCCCAGAATGCTAAATTGGTTGTACGAGGTAACAACGTATATAGTGTGGTCGGCTCAGTGCCTTTGCTGATGGTGTGTCCTTGTACCCAAACAGCGGGGATCATTGCTCATAATATCAATCACTAGATTGTCTGGGCTAGACTTGATTATTTACAGGCTATTGCCTAGTGCAGTAATAAACAAACAACACACACACACACACACACACACACACACACACACACACACACACACACACACACACACACACACACACACACACACACACACACACCTGCAACATTCCAGACAATAGCTCTGTTGCTGCTATCATAAGGACTTCTCAGCTCAAAGACATAAATAATAAGCACCACACAGCTGCCTTAGACAACATGCTTCCACATTTCTAAAACATATACATTATAAAAAATTAATTTAATTGTTGTATGTACAAGAGGCTCAAACCCAGTGTTTTATAAGCAGACTCATGTCATTTAGTTGGGCAGCCTTTCGATTCATTTGATGATATACATTTCAATAACATAACAGGGCAAGTTTCCCTACCGTATTCGACGTAATAAGCGTCCCGCTCTAATAAGCGCCCATGGTGATATATTTGCTGATATATTGGCTAGTGAACAATCCCAATTAGCACCCCTTTCGATTGATCAGTGTACACTTATTTATTCGTGTATAATACCCACTCGTGTGTTATATGCACCCTTAATTATGGGCAATTCACTTCTGGAAAATATATCTGGAAATATAACTTTTCTTTTGTATCATTTCAGGCTGTCAGCATAAAACACGAAATTTACGATCTTTCAACTCTGTTTTTCTCTCTCCAAAATTATATTCTAATAAGAGACCCCTATTTCTAATTTTGGAAGCGCCCTCGGCGCATATTACGTCGATTACGGTATATCATCTGTCAGTGAACAATGGTGAAGTGTATGCTTACAGAGCTACTTTGTAATCTAGAAACTATTCCAGCAAAACGTTTTCCAAACAAATGACTTGGTTCATGAATGTCACTGTATCCCAACTGCATAGATCAATGCTCAAGATGTCAATCAGTGGATTGTCTGGTCAAGACTCAATTATTTCCAGACCGTCATCAAAGAGCTGGAATATTACCGGTACTGAGTGTGACATTCAACAACAAAAATTCCAAACATATTCTGTTTTCAATCAGTCTAAAAAACTTGGATGGACTTGGTGAAGACCTGCAGTTCAACAACAACCCTCCTTCATTTCCAGTGCCAGCTAGTGCAGCATGAACGTTGAATTACTGTTCTGGATCAATGCCACCAGTCTAGTGGTCCAGTATCTCTATCAAACCCTGTGACAGATCTGCATGCAAGAAGCGTACCAAGTTTGGAGGAGATGCGTTTTGACATTTCCTCCCACTGATAACTGTCATCCATATTATATATAATATAATATATGATATCGAGAAGAGGTAAAGATTTTATAAATCCGAATCAGTACATATAAAGGATCATTTACAAAATATAATAAAAATTATTCTTCTACTGTACATTAGTTATAGAAAATGATAGATGCAAACAGCAATGTACATACTATCTTATTTTTGGTCTACACTTCTGTAGTCATTAAAGAGCATTTAGACGTTGGACAAACATGAAAACAAAATGCTATTCCTTATTATTATTAGAATAAAGAATTTGTTATCCATTACATTTATGTAATTCTTAAAAATACCTAATATCATTTTTGTCTAACTACCAACATCGTGGTGTTTAGCTGAATCATTTATTCCCAATTCAGAGCTTTCCAATTATTCCATCAAGAGTCCGTTAATAAAGACCCCCTCAGGCATACGACAGGAACACCCTCATGATAGGTGAATGATTGGGCAAGTGTATGCAGCCCATGAGTTCATTCTTGCAATGACGCATGACTCAGGTTGAGCCAGACACAACAAGATCTGATTATGGATTGAATGTCCTCAGGTAGTGCTGGCTTGACAGGCTACAAACACAGCTGCAAACAAACTCACAGGCAGGAAATATAAACAAATTCTGATGAAAGAACATGACAAATGCTTAAAAAGTTCAAACTGTTACAAAAACAAATCAAATGCTGACTTTTAAAAACATAGGCAGGAGGCCCTGCAGCTCACCTGAATATCTTTACATTAGAGTGTGAGTAATGTTGACATCAGGAGAGGAACACCAACAAGAGAGATCACAAATATTATGTTGAACAATCAACCGTGAGTCCTTGCTGCAATGAGCATACGCTTTATCTACTATAGCACCCTTGCTGCAATGAGCATATGCTCTATCTGCTACACACCCTAGTTGCAATGAGCATACGCTCTATCTACTACACACCCTTGCTGCAATGAGCATATGCTCTATCTGCTACACACCCTGGTTGCAATGAGCATACGCTCAATCTGCTACACACCCTAGTTGCAATGAGCATACGCTCTATCTACTACACACCCTGGTTGCAATGAGCATACGCTCTATCTACTACACACCCTGGTTGCAATGAGCATACACTCTATCTACTACACACCCTGGTTGCAATGAGCATACAAACTATCTACAACAAACCCTGGTTGCAATGAACATACACTCTATCTACTACACACCCTGGTTGCAATGAGCATACACTCTATCTACTACAGCACCCTGGTTGCAATGAGCATATACACTGTTCACAATGTATGCATAAAATTCAACAGTGTCTTGTCCATTTTGTCATAGCCCTATGTTTAAAGTATTTAAAATTGGGGGTCGATAGATTCAAATACATCAGCAACACACCCGAAGGACATACTCAGAGGTCAATTAAAAAATGTCAAACCATGTTGAAAGAAAAAATAAATAAACAGGGAAACTACAGAAATTAAAATAAGGACCAGGAGTTACTGAACATATATCCTATACAGAGAAGTACACTAGCTTTGTACACAGGGTAAACAGACATCTGTGAAATTTCTGCATCACAAAAGTAATGGGGAAATAACGTGTAGTTTTTATTACTTTTAAATTAACAATAAGAACCTTCTGACCTTTACATTTTAAACAGATACAGACTTTAAATAAATATTCTGATCATAGGCTTTGTACATGATTTATGAACACGCACACACAAAGCAAATTTCAGTGAAATAATATCTCTTCAATCTTATTTCCGTATAAGCAAGAATTCAAGCATAAAGTGGTGACATGATTTCTGAATATTGACCTTTCCATTCATGCTTTGCAAAATGAGGCCCTGAAATATTTGATAATCTCAAACTTTTCATATTCTTTCTCTGTCCACTAACGTAATAGATATGACACTAATTTATTTCATCTACCAACTTTAATGTTAATTCTTTGCCTTGTTTAACAACAAACTTGAAAGAAAACACAGACATTTTTCCATACTTCATGTTGAATCCCTTGAAGTTAACGGATGACAAAGTAGACACAACTTATGGATAACAATTTCTTTACTATACTTTTACAGCAACAGTCAGGTGTACATCCTTGTACTGTCATCAAACAAGATTGAATACTGAATGGTCAAATGACAGCAGGAGATCACATATACTCAATTAGTAATTGTGAATACTTTGTAAATAGTGACCTAACATGAAATAACCTATTATAACAATCAGAATCAATTAATCGTGTTATCCAATTATCAAACAATGCTAGGCTTGGTAAACAAGCCACATTTAACACACTGGGGTGCACAAACTGTTGTGTCACAATGTGAAAAGTAGCAACAATCCTTCAGGTTTTGAAAGGACAAAAGAAAACTTTGAATATTGTATCACACTGGATTAACTAAACTCTTACTCATATGCATTGGCAATACTATTATAACACCTCAGGTTATAACACAAAATAACGGTTGCTCCTGAACAGCCCTAGTTGATATACACAGTACAAAAGAGTATCAACTTTATCATACAAAGTGTCACATTTAGCAAACACAATAGAATAGCATTGATATCTTCCTTTATTTCCACAATTAATAATCAGATATAAAGTCTGAATTAACATATTTCCCTATGTCATATCATAAAGTAAAGGATAAGCATATACTTATGTAAATAACTGAATTAAGCTAATAAGCTTAGATATAAGACCATGTTATGGCTAAAATATTGGATATGACTTAATGTAGATTTTATCATAGTCTATGGTGACATTTAACATAGCAATTGTAAACCTGTCCAATATATGTGTCACTGTTTACCATGTTTACACAAAGGTGACTTTGCATAACACATGAACAAGAATTTAATTGCCAAGTGTTTGGTAGCATTTACAAGTTGACTTTATCAATTTTAAGGTACATAACCTGGGCAAGTTGTAGAGGTGGAACGGAGTTTATTTGTGAGTGCAGGATGACCCTAGACACAGAGAGGTGTTGAGGACTCATATACATATAGATATATATATATAGGTCGGCTGGTTAAAATAATTATTCACCAGCGTCGCATAGCGTCATTGGTATAAATTATGACATAATCAATTATTGCGATTAGCACTGTTAGTTGAGGCACAGTGTCAGAATGTGGAGTGTTTTTAAATTAGTCTCGCCGTGCACCTCATTATGTTGGCTATACGCCTGGGGTAAATTCACAATTATACATTCCTACATGGGTCAATCAACGTACCAGTCGTGTATATGGCCTGAACAAACAATATGCAATCATATCAAGATAATGGTGAATCGGCAAGTAACGTGCTTCGCTTAAATCAGGGGTTATAGTTAGTTGGGATCGTCTTGTGTATGTGGAGCAGACATACGGGCGGGTTACCCTGACCCCGCGGCTTCAGTGTCGACTGTGACACACAAGAACAGGGACGGAAAGTGGGCCACCTACCCGACAGCACGGACAGCCAGACTGACAGCCAGGTAACTCCGACTATAGCCATCATTTCGACGGTCGTTCCTGCATTACAGCATCAGATTTGACTTGTGTTGTATCAAGGCGTTAGCAATATGGCGGGCTGGACTAACACAGCTGAACGCAACATCTCCGATATGAATTGGACTCCATAGTTCCTTACATCTCAACATTCGTCCAGGTTTGACAACAGACGATACTCTGCGTGCAGACGTCTGCACCTACAACTGCGCCAGACGACACGGCGCTCATTGCAGTCTTCTGTTAGACTAGCGGACCAGTCTATTCCAGGCGGACCAGTGACGCCACTGTACCACGCATGACTTAATCGGGCGAGCGCATTATCATAGGGGGTGAAGGCTGTTATGTGACCCATCTGACATAACGGTCACCAGCGATAACAGTACTCGTCCCGTGCGATATGGGAGCATACTGCACGCTTGTTTATTGCCGGGTTTCGTGTATATATCACGGACCAGAGATCTATCGGCATTATGCTGGTCAAATTCCGCCTGTATTATCGGGCACATAACTTAACCATTCTGCGCTATCATAGACTGTGTGTACTATTAATGTCGGAATTACGCAAACTTGCCTTTCGAAAGGAATAGGGAAGGAAGCACTTTCTTATCATATTTGTAAATTTGTGTTTTCTGCAAGGTCATTTTATTCTAAAATTAACCCCTTTTTTCAATACATGTTCATTTCGTTAGTTTCAAATGTTATTGTTATTTTCAATATCATCGGCGTTTAGGTGTCTGCTGTTTACGAAGCCCGACACAAAGTTCCAGAATAAGTTTTGATTGACGCCGCAATCAGTACAGCCATGTTACATCCCTGTAAATAGTCTAGGCCAGGCAAACCAGTGGTTGATAGCATGAACGGCGACTCAAATTCAAGTGTTTTCTTCTCAGTTTCCTAATTTAGAAGACACAACTGACTAAATAAACATAAAATGTTGAAGATCCTTATTTGACATGAGTATGTGTGCACCCGCATCATCCCGAGGCAAGGAGCTAACTGACTGTAAAAGTCCAAAGAAAAAAGTTAACTCCCTTGCCTCGGGAAGATGCGGGTGCACACATACTCATGGTGCACCTGGGAGGTGAGGTGAGGTGAAATTGGGTTTAACGTCGCGTCCAAGATTATTGCACTTATATAGCGACGTGCATGTACGTGTGTGTGTTTGTGTGGCTGCTTGTACTAGTCCGGACTGATGCCGATTTATAGTGCTAGCTCACTGAAATACCATGCCGCAGTTTAACATGAATACCCCACTCAGACACAGTATACTGACTCCGAGCCGACCAGTCCTTGTTTTAGCCCCTTAATGCCGAGCGCCAGACAGGGTAACAACAAGTACAATCTTTTAACGTCTTTTTGTATGACGCGGTCGGGGATCGAACCCCGGACCTTCCGCTCTCCGGGCGGACGCTCTACCACAAGACCACGGAGGCGGTCTTGGTGCACCTGGGAAGGGACAAGATTTCTCGCTGAGTGATATCACATATTTTCTTATTGGTGAGTTTGTCACGAACACCTGTTAACTGTTATACCATCATACGTCGTGCATGCGCAAAATGCCTGGACTATTACAGCGCAATGCTACTTTACTAGAGGAAAGGTGTGTCATATTCCACATTCAAAACAGCTTCAGTCGTAAAATATACCTTCGTAACGCCAACGCAGCCGGATAAGTGTCTGTAATGACGTGATTGAATGGGTATTATACTGTATAAATATAGGAAGCAGTATCCGTAGCATGTGTCACGTTACACGACTGCAGTCAACATTGTGATAATTAATTCCCGCCCCAAGGTCGGTACAGGCAAACCCGTGGTCAAATCTTAATTTCCAATTTGGTATAGTCACAGGCAAACACGTGGTCAATACTTCTCACTTGAGGGTCGGTACAGACAAACACGTGGTCAATACTTCTCACTTGAGGGTCGGTACAGACAAACACGTGGTCAATACTTCTCTCTTGAGGGTCGGTACAGGCAAACACGTGGTCAATGCTTCTCACTTGAGGGTCGGTACAGACAAACACGTGGTCAATACTTCTCACTTGAGTGTCGGTACAGACAAACACGTGGTTAATACTTCTCACTTGAGGGTCGGTACAGACAAACACGTGGTCAATGCTTCTCACTTGAGGGTCGGTACAGACAAACACGTGGTTAATACTTCTCACTTGAGGGTCGGTACAGACAAACACGTGGTCAATGCTTCTCACTTGAGGGTTGGTACAGGAAAACACGTGGTCAATACTTCTAACTTGAGGGTCGGTACAGACAAACACGTGGTCAATACTTCTCACTTGAGGGTCGGTACAGGAAAACACTTGGTCAATACTTCTCACTTGAGGGTCGGTACAGACAAACACGTGGTCAATACTTCTCACTTGAGGGTCGGTTCAGACAAACACGTGGTCAATACTTCTCTCTTGTGGGTCGGTACAGGCAAACACGTGGTCAATACTTCTAACTTGAGGGTCGGTACAAGTAAACACGTGGTCAATACTTCTCACTTGAGGGTCGGTACAGGCAAACACGTGGTCAATTCTTCTCACTTGAGGGTCGGTACAGACAAACACGTGGTCAATACTTCTCACTTGAGGGTCGGTACAGACAAACACGTGGTCAATACTTCTCTCTTGTGGGTCGGTACAGGCAAACCGGTGATCAATACATCTAAATTGAGTGTCGGTACAGACAAACACGTGGTCAATACTTCTCTCTTGTGGGTCGGTACAGGCAAACCGGTGATCAATACTTCTAACTTGAGGGTCGGTACAGGCAAACACGTGATCAATACTTCTAACTTGAGGGTCGGTAAAGACAAACACGTGGTCAATACTTCTAACTTGAGGGTCGGTACAGACAAACACGTGGTCAATACTTCTAACTTGAGGGTCGGTACAGACAAATCCGTGGTCAATACTTCTCACTTGAGGGTCGGTACAGGCAAACCGGTGATCAATACTTCTCACTTGAGGGTCGGTACAGGCAAACCTGTGGTCAATAGCCATACCATTTATCCATGCCTTGGGTGTGAGTGAGTGAGTGAGTCGGTGCTTAGCGCCGCTTTGTCAGTCAGATATAAGTGAGTATAGTTTTACGCCGCTTTTAGCAATATTCCTGCACAGCAATATCACGGCGAGGGACACGAGAAACAGACTGTACACATTGTGGGCGGTGGGGTAGCCTAGTGGTTAAACGCGTTCGATCGTCACACCGAAGGCGGGGGTTCGATTTCCCACATTTGAACCATTTCTGGTGCCCCGCGACGTGATATTGCTGAAATATTGATAAAGCGGCATAAAACCACACTCACTAACTCTCATAACACATTAAACCCATGTGGGGAATCGAACCCGGGTTATTCAGTGTGACGATCGGACGCGTTAACATCTGGGCTTCCCCGCCACCCCAGCCCATTGTGGGAGGAAAACCCAAAGTGATGCAGGTCCTAAACATTTACCAATTTAGCGACTCCCACGAGCATGGGTATGGTGCTGACAAACCAAGGATCACAATCAGTGCGAATCCGAACACACGACCAACGGTCCCTAGCACGGTTCAGGGTGCAGATTTGAACGACCACATGATCTGTCCATATAGTAGGGGTTTATGTACAAATTTACATTATTGAGATGTTTTTGGTGCAGCGTAAACAACCAACTACTCAACATCCAGAATTACAGGTTATATCCCGCACGAGGCAGTGTATATAATTAAACAACTTCACTTCAATCGGGATATATGATGCGTTATTTCCCATGGCGTATTTTTGTGTTAATGATTGCTCTCCTGTGCCAAGATGTACTCTTGATGTTGCTGGGTAAACAAACAAACTGCCTGCAACAGACTGAATGGTTGTCTGATGACATACTGTTGTTGAATTCAGATGCTAGTGACGTTCTAGAAGATGTATGGCTTAGTCGGGAATACGGCCTTAAACAACATTTACTCACTTCAGAGAAGGCAACGAGTGAATGTTATTTAACGCAACATTCAGCAATATTCTAGCTGTATCACAACCTCCTCTAAATAACCGAATCTGGGCCAGGCAAACCAGTGGTTGATACCATGAACAACGATCCGTGCCATTCGAGTATATTCGAGTATAATGAGCCAAATCACTTCATGTGACCATCCACTCCCCAGTACAGTCGACGTAGTTGAGGTACTACGATTTTGTTTGTTCGTTGTTTAACGCCGATATCAGCAATATTCCAGCTATATGACGGCGGTCTGCAAATAATCGAGTCTGGACCAGACGCTCCAGTGACTGACAACATGAGCATCGATCTACGCATTTGGGATGCGATGACATGCATCAATCAAGTCAGCGAGCCTGATCCCCGATCCCGTTAGTCGCCTCTTACGGCAAGCATAGTCGCCTCTTACGGCAAGCATAGCCGCCTCTTACGGCAAGCATAGCCGCCTCTTACGGCAAGCACAGTCGCCTCTTACGGCAAGTATGGGTTGCTGAAGATCTACTCCAACCCAGATCTTGGCGGGTCGAGGTACGATGCCGTCCATGACACCCCACAAAGCAGGCATAACATATCTTTAGAGGTTTTGAGCTGAAATGCGTTGAAGATTATTGCACTAATATTGCGATGTACATGCACGTGTATGTGTGTGTGCATGCGTGCGTGCGTGTTTATGTACTGGAGAGTGAGTGTGTGTGTGTGTGTGAGAGAGAGAGAGAGAGAGAGAGAGAGAGAGAGTGTGTGTGTGTGTGTGTGTGTGTGTGTGTGCGTGTGCGTGTGTTTATGTTGGTGTATGAGTGTGTGTGTGCACATGTGAGAGAGAGAGTGTGTGCATGCGTGCGTGCGTGTGTGTTTATGTACTGGAGTGTGTGTGTGTGTGAGTGTATGTGCGTGCGTGCGTGCGTGCGTGTGTTTATGTTGGTGTGTGAGTGTGTGAGAGAGAGAGAGAGAGAGTGTGTGTGTGTGTGCGCGCGCGCGTGTCTGGGCGTGCTAGTTCGTACTTATGACGTTTTCCTAAAGTGTTACGTCCACGGAGGTACCAACTCGCAGTTTTAACATGGACACCCCATTCAGACACAGCCGACCAGTCCTTATTTTAGCCCCTTCGTGTCGAGTGCCATGCAAGGTAACAACAAGTACCATCTTTTAACGTCTTTTATTATGATTCGACCGGGAATCTAACAACTTCCGCGCTCTCCGGGAAGACGCTCTATCCACGGAGACAGTATATAATCTTCAGAGTGAGTGAGTGAGTGAGTTTGATTTTACGCCGCTTTTAACAATATTCCAGCAATATCACGGCG